GTGTGTGTGTGTGTGTGAGAGAGTGTGTGTGAGTGTGTGAGTGTGTGTGTGTGTGTGAGTGTGTGTGTGTAAGTCAATGGCTACCGTCAACTGTTTGGTTATCTTCAAAATATCTTCTTTTACATTCCACAGAAGACTGAAACTCATACAGGTTTGGAACAACATGAGTGTGAGTAAATTATGACAAAATTGTAATTTGTGGGTGAACTATCCTTTTAATAAAAACTTATGGTGAAATTCAACCCTAACCCTAACTTTTTTTAAAAATTTACAATTACAAACAATTCAAGGTATGCCTAATAAGCTTTTAATGGATGGAAAATACTTGTGCGGATGACAAAAGATTCTTTGTTTTTTAATTCACTAGCGACAGTCCTGCAGAGACCGTCAGTCTGTCACCATAGAGACGGTAACTCTAGCAGTGCCTCTCCATCACAGCATCCTCACTCCGTCTCATCATCAGCACAGCTTCATCATCACTAGAGTATACATTGAGTAAAGTAAAATATTTTTAATACAAGCATTTCAGTCAAATATAATTTATGCAATATGTCCAACCCTTAACCCGTAATAAAAATAACCCGCAACAGCAGTTTAAAAGTAGCCCTGGGTAACCCTGCCATACGTCGTCCGCCCATAATGTCATCAACAACACATGCAGGTACAACACATCACAGGTCCTCTGTACTTGAGGTCTTGAGTTTTGGGACTCTTCCAGAAAGTTGTTTTGAACTCCTAAAACAAAGTCCAAATTTTCACATGATTTTGTTGAAGTTTGAATTGAAGGCTTTGACATTGGTTTTCATGGCTGCTGCTGCTGGAACAGCTCCTCCAAGTATATACTCGCTGCTGCAGCTCAGGTTGCTGAATGAGCGATGTCTTGTTCCTTCACACGAGAAACAAAGACGCTTTCCAGACCCTTCACTCTCTCTGCTCCTCTCTGCTGGAGTGAGCTTCTAACCTCCACCCGATCTGCTCTGACCATCTCTCAAGAAGCAGCTGAAGACACTTTTTCTCAAGCACATCACCACTGCATACCCTTAAACCAATGCACTTGCTCAAAAATGGTTTCTCTTCTCTGAATCCCTGCTCTTGCTTGTTTCCTAATCTAGCAATCTAATAAACATGGCATGCATTAGGAATATTACTGGCTCTGAGCCAAATTGCTCATGCTCCTCTACTTAAGTCGCTTTGGATCAAACAGTCTGCTAAATGCATAAATGTAAATCACATCAGCAGTGATCACTGCCTGTCTCTCATGCTTTCTCCATTGTCACTGAACACAAATGACTTCTGGTGGCTTTGTTCCTGCTGAACGCCATGAAGAGAAAAGTCAGATCAGCCTTATGTCTTCATCTACTCCTAAGGCCATGCACTCCATCTAATTCATCATAAAGCTCAGTACTGAGTGCAACAGTAAAGACCTTAAGAATCATCTGTGTGCTCGGGGCGAGAGTCCAGCTCTTCTTTTTGAATGACTATGGCTAATGCATCTGTGTTGACAGAGAGCAGAGACGTCGTTACACAAGACATGACGTCACACTGGAGTACAGATGAAGCGCTCAGAGAATCATGATGTGTTTCTACATTAAAGAAGAGACAGTTCAAACGGTGTGTTTCTAGGGACAAGGGGAAGGGGTAGGTGAAGGGGTCTAAAATAGAATTAGGATTGGGATTTACTATGCTGTATGCAAGTTCGGCTAACTCAAAAACTTGCATACACGAGCTGAGACCTGACATGAGATTTGATCGTAGCCACCGCTCACGTCCATATTGATTTCTGTACTATCTTGGATTCTGTACTAACTGAAGTTTGTAAAGAAGTTTTGAAGGTAGACCATAAAAGACAGCATAGCAATAATCAATTCGAGATGTGACTAAAGCATGAACAAAAATCGCTGTGCTCCTTACTGAGAGAGCAGAACGAAGTCGATTAATGTTACGTATATGGAAATATGCAGATCGAATGACACTGTTTATATGTGCTTCGAATGACAATGTACTATCAAAGATGACACCCAAACTTTTAACCTGTTTGGATACAGGCACTGGAAAATTATCAATATTTACTGAAGAACAATTAGACTTAGCCAGATTGGTTTTTGAGCCAACTAGGGGAATTTCAGTTTTACTACTATTTAGTTTCAGAAGATTCGATGTGAACCACTCTTTAATCTCAGCTGCACAGTCTGAGAGAATAGACGGAGGAAACGTAGAGGTAGGTTTGGAGGACAGGTAAAGTTGGGTGTCATCAGCATAGTAGTGAAACTGAATACCAAACTTCTTAAAAATATTACCAAGAGGTAGGAGATCAATAAAAAATAAAATAGGTCCGAGAACTGAGCCCTGGGGTACCCCAGTAGTAACGTATGAAGGCTTTGATGTAAACGGCTTCAACTGCACAAATTGAGTGTGACCCGTTAAATAAGATCGAAACCAGGTCAGAGCAGTACCCATAATTCCAATAGACTCCAATCTGTCCAACTAAATACTGTACGAAATAGTGTCAAATGCTGCACTCAGATCTAGCAAGATAAGTATACATAGAAGTCCTGAATCAGCAGCAGACAACAAGTCATTGGAAATCTTAACTAATGCAGTCTCAAGTGGACAGAAACCTGATTGGAATTGCTCATATAAGCTATTATCCGAAAGATGATCCTGAAACTGTGCAGCAACAACCCTTTCCAATATTTTAGAGAGAAACGGTAGATTTGAGATGGGGCGCAAATTATCAAAGTTACTAGAATCAGCCCCCGGTTTCCTAGGTATAGGAGTTATCACAGCAGTTTTGAGTACAGATGGAACAATACCAGAAGCAAGCGAAGAGTGTATGATATTACTAATTAAAGAAGAGAGAGAAGGTAAACAGGCTTTAACCAAATGCGTTGGAATAGGATCCAAATGACAAGTAGTAGATTTAGATTTGTGAATACAACGGACCACTTCCTCCGGGAATATAGAGACAGCTGTGTCGTGGCATTCACAGAGTCTTGGCTTACGGAGCAGGACTTGGACAGCGATCTGTTTATTGGTGGATTCGGTATTCCAACTCGTCCGGATCGGAAAGCAGTATTTAGAAATGGAGGAGTTAACAGGATAGATTTTATAAAGGATTTGGCCAACACTACAATTTAGATGTCTTAAATGTCTGCATTTCAGAAATTGACATTTTACATAAATTACATTTTTATTTATGATAACACTACCAAACAAATTAAACATGAGGTCAAGTCGCAACGACTGAATGTAGCATACTAATGTAGCATACTACCATTTGAAATGTTAGAATACCACTATTTGCCCTGCTGAAAAAAAATATAGAAACCATCACAGAAATTCAAATATGTTCCACTACAAATGCAATAACAAACCATCAACTTTTAACCATTAAAACCATTTAAAATATGGTTTTCAGTAGTGTGTTTTGGGACATATTCCATTAGGATTTATTGGTTTTAACAAGCTACCAATAGAAGGCGACCAATTACCAGCAGAGACCCACAGGGTCCATTACAGTTTCCATTAAAACCAGTACAATTCCCATCATAACCAGTAAATCCATTACAAATTTTGTGATAATGTCTGTTTTTTTTTTCAGCAGGGTGGAGGCTGTATGCAGTATGCATCAATAAACGTTTCAAACACTTACAAATGCTTCAAAGTAGTATGCAACATTGTTGTCACATGAGATCATTACAGAAATGTTAGATTATTTATATCAGATTATTTAACATTTTTATCCAGTTTTGTGTAAAGTATCTTCACTTTTGGTGGTCTGAGTCAAAAAAGATGTTAAAATAATCACAGGTGCTACACTTCCAGCTCAGTTGTCACACTGGAAATAGAAGGTTCAAGTCAAGTATGTTGCACTGTGGGATACAGTAGTGCACATAGTGTACTGCACATTTCAGCAAATATATTCCATGCATACTGAAAATTCACATGCTGCAGAAATAGCAGGACTGGTATGTTAGTATGCTGAACACGTTTGTGTATTTGAGTGCAGGCAAACATCACAGTAGCTTCAATATAATCCAGTAACGTGTGTGTGTGTGTGTGTGTGTGTGGTGCATCACGGTAGTGTTTCATTAGCTGTGCATTAAACCTACTGAGCTGCAGACCTGCACCACGTGTTGGGCATCTCTGAGGCAGCTCGCTGGGATTTGAGACACGGCCCTGAGCTGCAGTTCCAGTGTGTGGCCCACAGGAGGCGTAAGGACCGGCGTTCACTGCGCATCTCATCTGAGCTCGAGACTGAGAGCGCGTTCATCATCATCATCATCATCATCATGTCTTCGGCGGATCACACAGTCATGCACGGCATCTGGGGCAGTAACGCACCCGCGGGGAACGCGATGGAGACGCCGAAGAACAAGGGCTTCAGCCTGATCAGGATGATGTCTCTGAATTACAGGAAGGAGAAGAATCCGCAGCAGCAGCATCACAACAACATGCCCTTCTTGATCCACTGCCACATCGGCAAAGAGATCAAACACATATGCAGCAACTGCAGCCGCGGCAGCCACGCGCAGCGCGGTGAGTAAACAGCGCGTTCATTGCGCTTCAAACACAGCGACGCGACGCGACAGAGAGCTGTTCACACTGGTATGTTCTTGTGCGTCTTTGGCCGTAGCGTCGCGTTAAACCCTGGACGCGTTACTGTTCTTAATGATTGGCCTAATATAGGCTACACATGTGACCGACGCGTGTGCGTCGCGTAAGCGCCATGAGCGTTGCGTTTATAATAAGGCGCGTCAAGTTCAAATAGTTGGGTTTTTAAAAACGGGTCTGGAGCTTCTGTTTCTGGCCTGTGTGAACGCTGCAGGAAGTGACGTTCCCAAGGGATTCGTTTTCGGTTCTGTTTTTGCTATATTTGTGTATACTTTTTTTGGTTTATTATTGTAAATTATAAGCATACTAATTTGTAGTGCAAATAGTTTTAATTTTTACTGCAGTGTTCTTTTTTTTTAGTTATTTTCCTATTACAGTTAATCAGAAGTCACTCACATTCAGGGAAAATAGCTTACTTCTGTGTTGCAAAATAAATGGTCACACAGCTGTCTTTAGCTAGGTGTTTTGGCTGTGTTGATTAACACACACACTGGTCTTGTTGTGAACCATTAATTCAATTAAAACAATTAAAAACTAGTTTTTTTTGTAAGCTTTAAGTCAAAATCTGAAAGTTTGCTCAGAAGTACATCACAATACTGAAGTAAGTCACATCTTCTAGTTCATGCAGACTGTAAAGTTTAGGGAAGGGTTAACTGAGGGAAAATCAATTTTTTTCAGCATCTGACGCCATGAGTGTTGCATATTTAAGCCAATGTCAATTTAAAAGCATGGGTAGAACAGGTTTTTACGTATTAATTTATTAAAACAGTTCGTTCGCACATACAGTGATCCACGGCAACAAAGCAACAGTTAATTTTGACAATTTGTGTTTTCCAACAACAGCGATCATGTGAACAGGAGTTTGAGATGGTCGTCTTTGTGTTGTGTGTGTGTGTGTTGTGTGTGTGTGTGTGTGTGTGTGTGTGTGTGTGTGTGTTCGGTGTATGAGTTGTATGAGTTGTGTGTGTGTGTGTGTGTGTGTGTGTGTGTGTGTGTTGCCATCAAACAGTTTAACTTTAAAGCACACATCTCCAAACCATGTATCTTGATGAATTTTGAGGTGTAACTGCAGTATTTGAGCAGCTTCTAAAGGCTCATAACTTTCTGTTTTCATATGTCAAAGGGCATGATTAAGATGGATGACTGGTGTGTGTTTTGGGCTTCACTGACTGTAAGGCTGCAGTTTTGCAGTGTGCTGTTGAGCTCAGTCAGTGTAGATCATACAGTCAGACCATCAGCAGACGTGCTGTCATAGTAATCCGCTGGTTTAATCCTCTTCATTAAATTCCTCTTTGATTAATGTGCGTCACACCTGTTAATATGATTAGGATGGAGCTATAAATACGCTGTGAATGCATGTGATCGGCACGTGCTCGTCACAGTGTGTCCTTGTGTGTTCTCCTGACCCGAGTGTGGTGTGTTCAGCTGGAGCTGATGGTCTGCTGTAGTGGAGGTGTGTGTGATGTGTGTCAGCAGGGACTGTGTTTGACCTACTTCTGTGTGCTGCAGTTTCAGCAGTAGGCGCAGAAATGGCACAAAATGTGCCGTCTGAGAAATAATGCACATGCGGCTGAAACCGTGTGAAGCTGCTTGTTGCTGTGCATCAGCTTGAGTCTGTGTTGCTCTACAGCAGAGGAGCTGGAGAACCTGGCCTCCGTTCACGCCGAGGCCCTGGTGTCCGGATCACACTGCAGGAGCAGGTTTGCCTCTCTGGGACGCCTCTTCAAACCCTGGAAGTGGAGGAAGAAGCAGAGCGAGACGTTCAAGCAGAGGTCGACCGGTAAATGCATGTTTCTGTTACATTTATTCCATATAGTAACAAAAATACATAAAATGCACACATCAGTCAAAGATTTTTAATGTTTTTTTTGTTTTGTTTTTTTTAAGAAGTCTCATCTGCTCACCAGGCCTGCATTTATTTGATCCAAAATACAGGAGAAACAGTACAATTTTGAAATTTTTACTATTTAAAACAGCTGTTTTCTATGTGAATATCTGTTAAAGTGTAAGAAATGTACTCAACTGTTTTAAAAATTGATAATAATAATAATAATCAGAAATGTTTCTCGAGCAGCAAATCAGCATATTATACTGATTTCTGAAGATCATGTGACACTGAAGACTGGAGTAATGATGCTGAAAATACAGCTGCGCATCACAGAAATACATTACAGTTTAACAGATATTCACAGAGAAAACAGCTGTTTTAAATAGTAAAAATATTTCACAATAAATGCAGGCTTGGTGAGCAGAAGAGAATTGTTTAAAAAAACATTCAAAAACTCTTGACTGGTAGTGTGCATTTAGATTGACGCATTTGGCAGACGCCTCTATCCAAAGCAACTTGCATTGCAGTCCCATTAGTTTAGTTCATGCATTCCCTGGGAATCAAACCCATGATCTTGGTGTTGCTAGTGCTGTGACCTACTGTTTGAGCTATAATGAAATTTCATATAATGTGTCATAATCATGCAAAAGATCGGGTTGTATTAAAGTCTCCTGCCTTAAAGGCTCAGTAGGAACATAATGCTGCATCTGCCAAAAACAAATATATTTGATTAGTCTCAGAAAGCAGTGTGCATGATAGAGCAGAGAATCTTAAGTCTTAATTTGCCCTTCCATAAATTAAGCCTAAAAAGGTATTTTTGAGCAGAAAGTCTTAAATTCATAAAGTTGTGGCGTTATATGTTGCATGCACTGCAAAACATGAATATCTCCCTGAGTATGTTGTCCTGTTTTCTAGTGCAAATATCTAACCATCCTTAAATCAAGATACACTTACTTGAGATGCAAAATAAAGACAGGAAGTCTAGTTTTCTGAGAAATCGAAAGAAATCGAGTGAGTTTATGCTTCAAAGAAGAGCAAATATCAGTCAATGGGGAATGAAAACTTGTTTTTGTAACTTACAAGTACATGCATGCATATTTATTGATTGTGAGGATTTCAGTTGAGGGAGTGTTCTGGGTTCAGCTCGACTGACCTTTAGAAAGCAGAAGTCTTCATAAAACACTTAGATGTGAGTTTCGCTGATGAAGATGATGATGATGAAGATGATGTTCATTCAGATATATTAGGAGGAATAAATGAGAACATTTGTACATTTAGTTGTTATGCACAAAACTGAAAATGGGGTAAAATGATAAGCATATCATGAATGTAAAATACTAAATCAAGTATGTAAATTAATGCATTGTGATAATCATATAGAATATGTGAATATTCAGTAATCCCAGTCGGCGTGATGTTACAGAGACACACATAAGCTTTCTGCTGGCCTTAAAAGATCTTAATTCACTCTTCTACAAATTAAGGTCAAAAAAGTCTTAAATTCATAAAGTCATGGCATTAAATGTTGCATGCACTGCAGTATTTCTGTCTTGTTTTCCAGTCAACATCCTTAAATCAAGACACATTTACTGGAGAAGCAAAATGAACATATGAAGTCTTGACTGAACAAAACAGTGAGTTTTTGCTTAAAACAAGAGGGTAAAATACAAGTTTTTTAGGTGAGGTTTTCCTGGTAAAATTCACATCGCAGGGGCTAAATATCACGTTATTCAACCCGCGGCAACAGTAGCCCAATTCCGCGCGAAAACCGCAGACTTGGCAACACTGATTTTACCGTTTCATTTGAGTAAAACTAGCATCCTGTACATACACAGAAATGTAAAGGTATTCACGGTCAAAATAAATTATTAGTCAAAATAAAAGTTTGGTTTAACTTGAAGACATTGAGCCAGAAATACATCACTGTTGTTCGAATGTACATACTACTACTACTACTACTAATAATAATACAATTATTTAAACTTTACTTTTTAAGGAATAATCACACATTTTGTCCATGTTTTAATTTTAATGTTTGCCAACAAAATTAAGTTTGTATAATTTTCAGTAATTAAAAGATAAATAAATTAAATTATTTTATGTCTTCATTTGATATCCAGTAAAATTTAAATACACAACGGAATTTCTGAGGAAAATAAAAAACATTTTATAAGACTATTGTAGGAATAAATTTGAATAAATTAAGTTTTTATGCATTTAAATAAATCAGACATGCTAAAACAGAATTTGTTAACAATAAAACTTGTGGTGCGAAAAAATAAAATAGGGCCCTTAACATGTAATTGTTGTTAAACTTTTAATAAAATGATTATAATTAGTTAGACATGTTTTTTTATGAATAAAATTCAGTTTAACCATTAAAAAGGAGTCCAGAAAAATTTAAAGGGAAAATACAGGATTTGGGAAAAAATAAAACGGATTTCATCGGGCCCTAGACTTGACTTTGACTGTAGTATTCACTGCATATGGATCACAACACATCTGAGGAGTCTGTCCTGTCTGGCATCTTCTTCAGAAGATCTCCAGATGTTCTTCATCTCACGTTTGTGTGTTTTCAGCTCTGGAGAGGAAGATGTCGGTGCGTCAGAGCCGAGAGGAGCTGATCAAGAGAGGAGTGCTGAAGGAGATCTTTGAGAAAGGTTCTTGTGACCTCTGACCTTCACGCCGTGTGTTCTCTGGAGCAGACTTCACTTTCAGTGTCTGATAGCAGCTTGGCGAAACACAAACCCTTTAACCGACAGCAGCACTCATTCATTTCATATCTTACATGAAATAAATCAAAAACATGCGGTACAAAATAAAGCAATAAGCCCCGTGAAGCTGTGGTTTACAGTGAATTTATAACAGCTAAGGTACGACACAGAGCGTAGTGCCTAAAACCCCCGTAGCTGTTATAAATTCACTGTAAACCACGGCTTCACGGGGCTTATTGCTTTTATAAAACGGTTATTCCATATACGTAGCAAGGTTTCACAGAATAAAACAGAGCAAATAAAGTGTAATGATATTAATAAAAACAGTATTCTTCCACCAAACAATGTAGCTCCTCAGAAACAGTTGTGGTTGCTACAAAGTGGTTGCCGAGCAACACACAAACGTAAACAAAGGTGTATGTTACTTTGTAGAGTAATTTACAACAGCTTCGAACGCGGCTCAGCCAATCAGAATCAAGCACCGGAACTCTCCGTTTTATAAATGCACTCACATCACACTATTGAACACTGAACATTAAAACAGCCAAGTCTACTGACTCCTGACTCATGCCACAGATGACGAGAACTTTGAATATTAACACTTCAGCTCTCATGTTCATTTGTAACTTAATAATCATAAGACTACAGTTATCAAACATAATATTCTTTATTAATTTAACAACAAACTGAGAAATCTCATTTTTCCTGATCTTTTGACAACTACGTGGTCATTATGCTATAAAAACATTGTGTATGTTTCAGAACTCAAAGCATCCTTGTATTTCCAAAAACAGCTTTTATTGAAACCAAGCTGCTAGAAAAGGACTAATTTTCTCCTTCCTGCTATTCAGTGATGAAAGCTTTCGTGAGAGAGCAGAGATGAGCTGCAGTGGTGAGATCAGTGTGTTTGTGAGAGCAGATCTGAATATAACACACAGTCAACGCTCTTCACCACGACTTCATCTCAGCAGCTGAAATAGTAAAGATGTAGTAAACATTTTCAAAAGAGTTCCACGTGTAATACTTATTTGATATGCAAAGATGTTAGCCAATCACAGCAGTGGGCGATTACAATAAAGATAAAAACTCAGAATTCTAAAACATAAACTCAGAATTCAGAGAAAAAACTCAATTCTAAAATATAAATTAATTCAGAAAAAAACAGAATTCTAAAATATAAACTCAGAATTCAGAGGAAAAGAACACAGAATTTTGAGCTGTAAACTTGAAATTGTGAGCCAAAAAGTCAGAATTCTAAGTTTTCATCTCATAATTCTGACACATTTTCACAAATTTGTGAGGAAAAAAAGTCTGAATTGTGAGATTAAATGTTAAATTATTAAATGTATTTTTGTTCTTATGCAGTGGCAGAAATGGGCTTCCGTATTAAACCGACTGTTCAAAATAAAAGGTTAAAATCAGGGTAGAATATGAGCTTTTATTTCTAAATGATGTGTGTTTGTTGATGTGAAAATCCTGCTAACACTGTAAGTGCTCCTCAGGAATGATCCTAATCTTGCAGAAGTGCGGCTGATTGATGTGTGTTTGTTCTGGCTCAGACTCCAGAATCACGGCTGTGACGCCGGCGGGCCGGATGCAGAACGGACTGCTCTCAGACTGTGAGCGGACCGCGGAGGACCGACAGAGCACCGGTCAGTGTGTGTGTGTGTGTGAGAGTGTGAGAGTGTGTGTGTGAGTGAGAGTGTGTGTGTGTGTGAGAGTGTGTGTGTGTGTGTGTGTGTGTGTGTGTGTGTGTGTGAGTGTGTGTGTGTGTGTTTGAGTGAGTGAGTGTGGATCATTATTCTAACATTATTCCACCGGCCCATTATCTGGATGAGCAGCCATCGTCCTGCTTTATTACTGTGGTGGATTGATCTCAGATTCCTGATCATCAGGCAGAATATCAGAACTTGTGTAAGTGAGAATCAGCAGTGAATCTGGATTCATCAGACTTGCAGAGATCAACCCATAGTGTTTATTTATAGCCAATACAATATTTATTTAATCTTTCACTTGTGTTTTTGTTCAATTTCATCTTCATTCATTGTGCAGCCTTACTAAACAATAAATATGTTGAATTAAAGTCCATCTTAAATGGCCTGCCATCAGAATTATTTTTGGTTTAGTAGTCTATAAATGATGAAACCCCTGACACACTATTTTTAGTGTTTTACCGTCAGCTCAGTCACGTGTGAGGCTCTGGATTCAGATGTTGTGTGTTTCAAGATAATTAAAGCACATGAAAGCGCTGCTTTAGCTAACGGCTGTTTTTAATGAGTTGGGCTCCGATAACGAAGCGCATCATGAGCTGAATAATGTGCTTTGTTCTGCTGCGTCCGGCTCTCTTTCTTCTCAGAGTTCGCAGGACAGTAGAGGCCTATGGGAGTGATGATGATGATGTTCCTCATGTGTTCCTGATGCTTTGTTCTCTCAGCCGCCCTTGACTTCCGCATGTCTCTGGATGGAGGAGTATGTGCTCAGGACAACACGCTCAAGTCGCTCACGCTTCCTCCCAAGAAAACCGTCACCTTCCCCAGTGACCTTCAGGAGCCGCCCGCCAAACCTCAGCTCATCCACAAACAGCCTCCCGCCCTGCCGCCCAAACCCTTCTCCAGACTGACCAATCACAGCACAGGTGAGAAACAAACACCTCCAGACTGACCAATCATAATGTCATTATAAAGAGCATTTCTCCATGAAGATTTTCAAACGTTATTGAGTAACATTTACATTTACATTTACATTTAGTCATTTTGCAGACGCTTTTATCCAAAGCGACTTACAATTTGGGAATACATAAAGCGATTCTTCTTAAAGAGGCAAACAGACACAGTAAGTGCTTGAAATACCAGGTTTCAGGCATTGTTCAAATAAGTACAAGCTAGAAAGAGAAGGAATAAATAAAGAGAGAGATTTTTTTTTTTGTTTTGTTTTTGTTTTTTTTTTAATAATGATGATGATGATGAAATCAGGTAGCTTCGAAAGAGATGAGTTTTCAGCTGTCGCTTGAAAATTGTCAGGGATTCAGCATTCCGGATAGGGGTGGGAAGATCGTTCCACCAGCCAGGAGTGGTGAACGAGAATGTTCTGGAAAGTGATTTTGAGCCTCTCTGTGATGGTACCACGAGGCGTCGCTCACTAGCGGATCTCAGACTTCTGGAGGGGATGTAGATTCGTAGTAGTGAGTGGAAGTAGGCGGGTGCTGAGCCTGTGGCTGTTCTATATGCAAGCATCAATGTCTTGAACTTGATTCGAGCCGCGACCGGTAGCCAGTGCAAGGAGATAAAGAGAGGTGTAACATGGGCTCTTTTGGGCTCGTTGAAGACCAGTCGTGCCGCTGCATTCTGAATCATTTGTAGAGGTTTGATTGTGCTTGATGGAAGTCCAGCCAGAAGAGCATTGCAGTAGTCCAGCCTAGAAATGACAAGGGCCTGGACAAGAAGTTGTGCAGCATGCTCCGTTAGAAAGGGCCTGATCTTTCTGATGTTGTGCAATGCAAACCTGCAAGATCGAGCGGTCTTTGCAATGTGGTCTTTGAAGGTCAGCTGGTCATCAAAAGTTACACCAAGATTTCTGACCGAAGTTGATGGGGTAATTGTAGAAGAACAGCTCGGATTGTTTACAACATCAAACACTTTGATTTGAAGCAAAAAGTCTTTGCAACCCAAAACAATTATTAATTTACCCTATTGTTTCTCCAAACCAATAAGACTTTCATTCATCTTCAAGTGACAAACTATGATATTTGTTTGAATATTTTTATGTGAGTTTTCACAAAATAAAATTGGGAATAACATTGGAAAACAAGCCAAAAATAGTGAGGAAGAACAACACTTTTCTGCAGTGAAGGTTCAGTTATTTCCATATTCTAGTGTTTGGAAGCAGAAATATTCAAGCTATGAACAATTTTTATTTTTATTCTCCATTTTTTAATTCCCTTTTCTTAATTTGGGTTTTAAAATGTCTTCGATTTACTGTCATACAACATGTGAATTAAAATAGAAAAGTTTAGTAAACATAGATGTATGCCGTGATTATTTTGAAGCAATTAAATATTTAAATCAGTGTCATTGATATGCTATTATAGTTTTTGTTAATATTTTGAATTAGCTTTTATTTTTATATTTTCTGTTTTAATTTAAATGTTAAAGTTTTTGTTTTTTTGTTACTTAGTTTTTTAAATATTTTATTTCATTTCAGTTTTAACTTTTATTTTTTCAATTAATGAAAATGTTCTTTCATGGTTTTAGTTAACGGTAATAAAGCTGATTTAATGGTGAAGACGCTTCCTCTGGTTCACTCAGACACATGAATGCTGTCGTCATGTGAATGTAATCTTGTCCATACACTGCAGTGTGATCTTCACGAGCGTGATGTTGATGCTCAGAGGATTGTGGGTATTTATGCTGGTGTGTGTGTGTGTGTGTGTGTGTGTGTGTGTGTTTTAACATAATATCTCAAGTTATGATTTAAAATGAACA